GGTTGGTAATGATCAATCAATGTAGGTTCATTAATTGTAACATATCACTCTGGTGAAGGATGTTGATAGTGTGGGCAGGAGACATATGGGAACTTTGTACTTTCTACTCAATTTACAGTGAACCAGAAACTGCTCTAAAAGTAAAGCCTACTAAAAATTATATCACCTGCTATTTTTCAGGTTGCTCAAGAAGAAAGGCTGTGATCGCTGGCACTTGTGATAGTCATCAACACTACTCACACTCTGGTTCTCCCCACTTCCTGAGTATATGCTAGGATGGCACTTTCCCACTCCCTTGATTTTGAATATGGTCATGTGAGCGAGTATCAGCAATGAAATGTGACAACTGTCGCTCCTGGGTTGAAGTCTTTAAGAATTAGTGTGCAATTTGCTGTTTTTCCTCTTCCCACAGCAATGACTAAAGATGTTCTTAAATGTGGAGGCCATCAGATGGGTTTTCCGGGTGACGACTTTGTGAAAGCAGAGACGTTCAGAAAATGGGCATGTTGTGAATGCTTAAGGCCCTGAGGTGTGAGAGTTGTTACTGGAATCTGATCTAGTCTGTCCTCATCAATATGGCATCTGATATGGTCCTTCTAGTGACCCTTGAATAACTTCCACAAGAGAGATAAGAGAATTTGATTTCCAATCTTTCATCATAATAACTACATTGTTTATTTGAAAATAGAACTTTGAACAAAACTTGGCTTGTTTCCATATGTAAAAATGTTTCTAGTAATAGTGTTCACTTTCTAAAATTTTCAAAAGCCACTGCTTTTGACTTTTGCATATATTTTACAAAGTCTTTGGTGGAAAAAATATAAAAATATTACATGTTACAAGGAAGGAATGATGGAGGCTGTAGTACAGTTGCAGTGGGTAAAAGTATTTTAGCACACTGCTAATATGAAGAATATTTCTCATGTAAATACAAAAGTAGTTAAATTGCTTGAGAAAGTAATTATCTTTTCAGAGTGGTTAACCATAGGCAAAATGGTAAGCAATGGTAAGCTATTTTTCCTTGATTTTCTACCTATAATTTCCCTCCTTCTTTTTCATTGTTTTGCAAGGATGTCATCCTACATGAATGTATTCATATTTTCTACACTACAAACAACTAGAAGCATCAGGTCATGGGTTGTGACATCATTTGCCTGTGGATCTTTCCCTTTCCTCTCTCTTTTACATTTCTTATTCAAATCTTTTGCACCCCTCTATTCTTTCTTCTGTTTGGGGGAAAGAATGGAGAGAGAAAGATAAATGGGAGAGTAGAATTGAATGCCTGCGAGGGAAGCAGGTCAAACTGGGCATAGATTTTTATCAAATGCTAAAACACTCTAAATAGATTATTTCTTTCTTTACATGAATCTCCTGCCTACTTTCTTCTTTTACATTAGTAAAAATAAAGAATAGAAAAACAGCAAAACTAAAAGGTGAGTAAGGAAGAACATTTGTTCTTAAAATCACTTGGATTTTAAAGTTCTTAAAATCTAGTGGCTTTATTTTTTCTATGATATATATGGTGTTTAACCTCTTTATGGATACTGCTTCTTTGAACTAATTTATTCAGGGCTAGATGACTATATTTAGTGTTATCTTTTGACTTCTTAAATTCTTGTCAGCTAACAAGCTATGCAATACACTTTTCCCTTAGGTTCTTCTTCTAACCATTAATTTGCGTTACTTTTATCTTCTCCAAAGACAGTTAGTGCCTTGAGGCCTGTGAGTCTAAAATATACTTTTGCTACAGTTGGTGTTTTTTTCCTGCCTGGAAGATAGTTTTTCTCTATAGATTACATTTTACTTGTTCTTCAAGATATGACTTAAATTCCATTTCCTCTATTAACTTAAACATTTTCTCTCATTATTTCCCAATTATGCACTCCATAAATACACATCTATGATATAGGTTGAATAATCCCCCACTCAGATGTCCAATTTTGCTATAGTTTGGATCTGAAATGTCCCTCAAAGGCCCATGTGTTAAAGGCTTGGTCTCCAGTTTGAGGCTACTGGGAGGTGGTAGAAAAAAGTGGCCCTTTAAAAAGTAGGGCCTAGTAAGGCGTCTCTTGGCGCCATGGAGCCAATTCTCATGTACTTAGATTGGGTTGCTCCAGAACAGTAAGCTAGCAAACTTTTATTTTAATCTAGCAAGTCTGTGGTAATTTATTATAGCAGCCATGGAAAACTACCATAACATCACATGGCATTTACAATTCTCTAGGTTTGTTAAACATAAATTAGCACTTCAATGTCATGTTCACTTTATTATGAATAAATGGTAGACTATAAATTTCTGGTGGACAGGAACCAAGTTTACTTAGTTTTTAAAAACTTTCTATGGTGTCTATTTCAGTCTTTGGAGGTATTCAGATATTTGGAGCGAATTATGACTTTGATGCATAAAAGAAAATGAGAAAATGAAGGACTTTTGATTCCTTGTAATCAAATTCTAACATTTTTGCTTTTGAACTCTGTGTCACATGCAGTTGTAGGTGCACAGTACATGCGTAATAGAGATGAACAAAGGTACTCAACAACACTTGATTGAGTTGAATATAGAGATAAAGAAAAAGGAGAGAGAAGCAAAATGGGTCTAGTACAAAAACCTCTGTCTATGTAGCTGATTTTTGTCACATTAAGCTCAAATGCTAGAAAATGCCCAACATGAATTTCCCTTAAAGCAAAATAGATAATAAAAGTAGGTGGATGGAACAATTTGATTTAATTGTTTAATTGATTAAATTCAAAGACCCAGTATTTTAAAATCCATATAATATTAAGCTAAGCGAGAACGAGGTTACAGACAACTCAACATGGGTCTCTCCTAAAGGGACTTACTACCTAGTTGGGAAATAAGACTAACACTCAACTGAGGTTACCAAGCAGTTTATTTAGTGCTATATTGAATGATTTAGATTTTGGAGATTATAGATATTTGCAGTTGGGTGCTAGAGAATCAATCCGTCACTCATTCACCAAGTGTTTATTGAGAAATATTTGGTTCACTGTAAGAGTTTCTGTTTGGAGTTTGCAATGTAATAAAAGAAGACAGAGAAAACAACTAATACAAGAATTGAGTAAGTGCTAAATAACAGGGGGATGCTTTGTAATTAAGAAATATTATTATGTAGATTCTAAATGAAAGAAGTGTGATTATGAGTGATTTTAAAGATATTAATTAAGAGCACCTTGAAAGATGAATGGGAATTTGAGAAGTACAGAATATCCTAAGACAAAGCATAAGCAAGAACATTGCACACATGAAAGGGCAGTTTTAGAACTGAGATGGAATAAAGGATGTTTGAAGGGAAGTGTGTTACTTTCTTGCTGTAAGAACAGATTACCATAAATTTAAAACAACACAAATCCATTATTGTAAAAACCTCACTGGCATTAAACACAGATCTCACTGGCATTAAAGTCTTGGTATCCAAGGACCGAATTCCTTTATAGACACTTCCAGGAGGAATGAGTTTCCTCACCATATCCACCTTCTGGAGGTCGCCCACAATTCTGGGTGGAGGCTTCCTTTCTGCCGTCAAAGTCAGCAATGTTTCATGTGTAGCCATTCTTTATAATTCTATCTCCCTTTTGACTGTCTTTTGCCTCTCTCCTCCAGTTTGTGCATAGTACTGGTTTTGAACTCAGGGCCTTAAGCTTGCTAGACAGGCACTCTATCACTTGAGCCACACCTCCAGTCCCCTCCCCCTCCATTTTAAAGACCCTGTGGCTGGGCAGTGGGTGGCTTATGCCTGTAATCATACCTACTTGAGAGGCTGAGATTGAGAGTATAATGGTTCGATGCCAGCCCAGACAAACTCTTGGGAAGACTCCCATCTCTAAAATAACCAGAGCAAAATGGAATGGAGGTGTGCCTACTTTGCAAGCACAAAGCCTTGAGTTCAAACTCCAGTCCTGCAAAACAGCAATAAAACCCTTGTGATTACTTTTGGGTCCACGAAATAATACAGAATAATTTTCCTATTTTAAGGTCATTGGCAACCTCAATTCCCCTTTGCTATGTGAACTACCATATTAGTAGGTTTCAGGGATTTATGCTGTGAACATCTTTGAGGGGGTCATTAGTTACTCCCCATGAATAGTAAGGACGACATAATCTGGGGTAGGTAAGTGAATAAAAGAGAAAGTGCTGTGAATATATTGAAAGGGACAATGGGGAAGCCAGTGCGTTTCTGAGGCTTGATATACTTCTTTTTTGAAGACAACTTTGAACAAGCAAAATTGGAGAGTAGCATTAAGAGATACCAACAGTATACATGTGTGTACAAATGAATGTTTCATTTGGTCTGGGGCAGCCTCTATCCATTTCTAAGTGTTTTTTTTTTTCTTTTTCCCCCTTCAGTGCTGGGTTTTGAACTCAGGGCCTACACCTTGAACCACTCCACCAGCTCTTTTTTGTGATGGGTTTTTTCCAGATAGTGTCATGAGAACTGTTTGCCAGGGGCTGGCTTTTTAAGTGTTTTCCATAATTTATGACGTCATTCCACAGGATCTCAGAAAACGGTCGACAACTTGTTGAGCAGATGCTTCAATGGACGCCTTCCGTCATCTGCAATAAACGGGAAGATAGTCCAATGGTGGCAAACCCCCAATCAGCAAAGCTCAAACTCACAGATAACTAGGAACCGAATCGTTTAGTGATCCAAATCGCAGGGAAGGCACGCTGTCCCTTTTCTTCAGGTTTCTCCTCAACCGTGCCAAAATTGTAAAACGCTTTCCCTTTAGGGCTAAGTCCCGTCCTCTACCTAACCTCGGTGAACAAAGCCTGACTGCTCCCCGCGTCTAACGCACACACCACCATTCTAGTCTTCGCGACCCACCGCGGAGGACCTCAAATCGTCACCACGTCCCCTCAATGTAGCAGGGACAGGAGAACCACAAGCACGCGACTGCAGACCCCGCGTCCATGGTATGGCGGAGACTATGCCGCTGTGTGGGCGGGGCCTCCTCGACCTGCGGTCACGTGCCCCCGCTTTCGCAGTCTTCCGCCTCCGTGATTTCCGGGTGCTCCTCCGTCTTCGGTCCGGCTGGACGCTAGCGGCATTGGGTTCCTATTTCTTGCATCTGACGGTGCACACGACTGCCTTTTCCCAGAGCCCAGCGGGAGGGACATGAGTGTCCCCGGGCCACCGCCCCCGGACGGGGACCTGACAGGGCCACCCGTCAGCCTGGAGGCCGGCGAGCCCTCGCTGGGTACGTGCCGTGGGGCGGCCCGGGCGGGGTGCGAGCGGCCGGGATCCGAGCGGGTGGGACGCCGGAGCCGCGGAGTCCGCAGTGGCCCGTGCTCCCCCGCGCGGAAGTGGGGCCCTCATGGCTCTGCTGCCTGGCAGAACCCACGGCACCCCAAGTCCCGAGGGGAGGTGCAGTTGGTGGCGGTTGATGCTGAAATCATTCTTGTTATTTGTCATAAATGGGTAGCGGTTGGGGATGGGTTTGTCGGAAAAACGATCGGCCTTAATTCAGAGAAGTATCCAATATTGGCCACTCACGATGTGCTGTGACTTGCAGGTGACATTACCTCATCCGCTTTTCTTCAGCAGTCTTTCTCATCCCGAGTTCCAGGAGAGATTTACGCTTTCATCGCCTGAAACATCCATTGAGTGGAATGAATCAACTTGCTATGTATATACCTAGATTGCTACTGTTTATGTGCCATCAGTCTGGGAAGAACGTAGTCACTCAAAGCATTTTCTCTGTTCCTCTGGAAATGAGAAGGCTGCGGTGGTTTCGATCAATTCTTTAAAATAATCTCTTGTTCCAGAAATATAACAGGTTATCTCAAAATCATTACATCAACTGTTCATGGTCATTCTTTAATGATTCTCTCTTCACACTGTCATAAGTCACTTCTCTAAACATGATTTCCTTGTAGAACCCATTCTTTTCATTTGCTTCTCTACTGTTTTTTTCTGCAGACTTTGACATGGTTGTTTTTCCTTAATCTCACATATAGCATGCACATAAATAAAAGCAGATGTCCGATCTGTTAATGGCATCGTTGCTCTCACATACAACTTTGAAATTGCTCTCAACTCTTTCTCTTGCTTACCCCCTTTGTGTAGTGTAGGGGATTCTACTATACAGTTTTCATCTCCCTTTTTTATTTTCTCCTTTAACTTAGCAGCCATAAGGCTGTTTCACCTCCCTACTGTTCCAGAATGTCTGTCCCATTGCTGTTACATCACTGCCCCAAGATAAAGTTCCAGTCATATAATTTCCTTGCTCAGCATCCTTAAGTGGCTCCTCACTAGTTAATAAATAAAAAAGGTCCAGATCCACCAACTTGGTACTCAAGGGCCCAACAGGCTGGCCACATGGTATTATGTGTATACCCTGTCTCCTGACACCTCATACTACCGCTCTGTTCCAGAGCAACCTTATATTCCCCACCTCATATTGCTTCATTTACCCATATTGCATCTTTTCCACTCCTGCCATAGAATTCTTATCCATTTGGAAATAGTCTGCCAGTAGATTTGGTGGCAGTGTAAATTGTGCCATCTCTTAGGAGGGCACAGTTTTGCAATATCTGAAGAAAGTGTCAACCTTTTGTTCCATCTGTCTATTACTTCTAACAGAAACTGTGACATGAATATATGTATATTAGCTAGGAAAATTATTGTTCATTATTTGAGTTGCAAAAGGTTGAAAATAACCTAAATAACCCATCCATAGGGTGCTGGATAAACAAATGATGGTAGAATTTTATTCTGTAAAAAGAATGTAGTAGATCATATATGTTACTATAGAAAGATGTCTAAGATGTATATTTAAGAGAAAACTTGCTGGGCATCTTTTTCAGGTGGTGCACACCTGAAACCCACCACTTTGGGAGGGTGAGGCAGGAGGATCATGAGTTCGAGGCCAGTCTGGGCCTACATAGCAAGCCCCTGTCTCAAAAAAAAAACAAAATCAAAGAGAAAAGTTGCAGAAGAGTTGTATTTCATTTATGATAGAAAGATTATATGCATTGATATGCAACGATAGCCATGTAAGAATTCCAGAATAACTCCATTGGAGTTAGGGGATAAAAAGGAATGTTTTTACTTTCATCTTGTGCCCTTCTCCACAGTATTTAAGTTTTTACAATAAGTAACACAAAAAGGAAGAAGGCTGGGCACCAGTGGCTCATGCCTATTATCCTAGTTTGGGCAAATAGTTCACTAGATTCCTTCTCAAAAATATCCAACACATAAAAGGGCTGGCGGAGTGGCTCAAGTTGTAGAGTACCTGAGTTCAAATTTCAGTACTGCCAAAGAAGGAGCCAGATGCTGATGGCTCATGCCTTTAATCCTAGCTACTTGGAAGACTGATATGGGGCAAATAATTCATAAGATCCCATCTCCAAAAGAACCAGAGCAAAATGGATTGGAGGTATGATGTGGCTCAAGTGGTTGAGGGCCTGCTTTGCAAGCACAAAGCCCTGAGTTCAAACCCTAGCCCTAATCCCCCCACCAGAAAAAAATGAGTACATCCATTCTTTAATTCTTTGCTCACATACCTACACTTCCTTTAGGACTCGTCCCCAGATTGTTTGTTTTTGTAATGGCATTTGTCATACTCTGATTCCCCTGAATTGTGACCTTCTGGGGAAGAGGATTTACTTTTTATTGTTGTAACCTCAGAAATTAGCACATGGTGTAGCCATTCAACAATATTTCTTGTTTGAATAGGGTAGGGACCCTTTCTTGTTCTTTAATCTTCCACATAAAGTACCTGGAACTTAGTAGCTAAATATGTATAAAAACATGAATAACTGAGACGCACCCAGTAATTAGGCAGGAGATTGGGGTGGGGAAAGGAGGCCCAGAAGTTAAAATGTGTTAATAATCTATTGAAAATTATGAATCCTCTGACCTGAAAAATACATAAACACACAGAATTTTGAATATGTTAATGTTCCTTTACTCTAAACTTTGTCTTATACTAGTAATTTAAATTCACTTTCCTGGAGATGGTGGTACACTCTTATGACCCCAGCACTGGGGAGGCTGAGGCAGGAGGATTGTGAGCTCCAGACCAGCCTGAGCTACATAGTGAGACCCTGTCTCAAAAAAACTCAACCAAACCAAACATAAAAAGAACTGAATCAAAACATTTTTTGAGCACTCATAACTCATTTTTTAGAAACAGTTCAGAAGATAGAGGTTTAAAAGAAAAGAATACTTATAATTGGGAGAGTGGATGTGTACTCTCAACTCCACTGTGGGCCTCTTTCCCTCCTTCCTACCTATGATTCCCCCAACCTCCTTTTAGTGCTGTGGCAATTTAAGAATTTCATAAATTTGAGTTTTGCCTGGGGACAGGTTTAGGTGACACTTCTCCAGATGAAGGGCTGATAGAGGACTTGACTGTAGAAGACAAAGCTGTGGAGCAGCTGGCAGAAGGACTGCTCTCCCACTACCTGCCAGATCTTAAGAGATCAAAACAAGCCCTCCAGGAACTCACGTAAGCCAACAAAGCCAGACCTTCACTCATTTCCTCTCTGCTATCCTCATAACTTATTCTGTAATCACATATGGTATTGAGGTATAATATTTGCTGTTTAATCATCATTGAGTATCTATATCTTTCAAATGGGAGTAAAAGTTACATAGTACTCTAAATGTAAAGTGAAATGAATACTCTTAGAGTATCTGATTTTCTAAATCTAGACTCTTATTAACTCAGTGTTTTATCATTATGTTATTTATTATCCCTTGATACTACATCTTTCCCAACTGTAATCAGAGAAGTCATTGTTCTTCATTTACTTTTGGGGAATATTGCAATTTTGAGATGTATAAAACATTGAAAACCATATGTGGTGGTATAATCTCACCTACTCTGGAAGTGGAGATCAGGAAGACTGTTTGAGGCCAGTCTTGGCAAAAAGTTAGTGAAACCCCATCTCAACAAAATAAGCTGGGCATGGTGGTGCATGTCTGTTATCCCAGCCAACAGACTGTGGGGAAGGTAGGTAGGAGGATTGAGTTCGGAAGCTGGCCCTGGGCAAAAATGTGGAATCCTGTCTGAATAACTAAAGCAAAAAAGGGCTGGGAGTATGGCTCAAGTGATACAGCACCTGCCTAGCAAGCTGGAGCCCTGAATTCAAACCCCAGTACCACAAAATTTAAAAAAAAAAAATAAATAAAACCAGAATCTCTTAGGCAAAATATTATAGAAACTTTTTTGGGGGGATAATATAGTTACTAACAATAACAAAGTACTTTAAAACTATTTGATTATTTTAGTTACTAGAGCTGAACTTGAGACAAGAATAAAAGACACATTTACAAAGACAAGAATAAAAGATTTGGAATATTTTCTTGAAAAAGATTGTGCTAAACCAAATAAGCCTTGGAGAGGCAATGAATTTTCAATTTAGTTTCCAACTTTCAGCATTAGCCCTTTGATTCCTTTCAATGATCAGAAGTTACAGTATAAAGTTTATTTTGTCTGTGCGCTTTTGTTCCAGACAGAACCAAGTTGTATTATTAGATACACTGGAACAAGAGATTTCAAAATTTAAAGAATGCCATTCCATGTTGGATATTAATGCTTTGGTAAGTATGATTTTGTTGATGTAACATAATGACATCTTTTAGAAATAGCTAGATTAACCCTGCCAGCTATGTGTTTATGTATGCTTAGGATTTTACCCTCTAATTTTTAATGTTTGGAATTTGTATTTTAAAAGAAAACCTTGACTTACTTTACTAGAACTTTCATAGTCTTGAATTGTTGTCTTTCACACGTTGAACTTGTAACAGGAAATTGCACTTATTTGTGAGTGTGGAATAGATTTGTTCATAATTGAAGACTTAGAAAAGAGAACTGAAAGTAAGGAACTTTGGGCACTATTTGTACCATTAAGGAAAGTGCCATCTCTCTTAGCTGTCAATTAATATGGTTTCTTAAATTAGCATTTCATTTACTTATTTGGAATATTTGTAATGCCATACTAAATTAATTCCTTGAGCTGAAATGAACACATTGAGAATGATAGATTATATCTTTCAATATAAATAGTTGGATTTCATCAGAAGTTCTATATACCTTTTTTTTTTTTTTTTTGATGGTACTTGTGTTGAACTCAGAGCCTCATGCCTGCTAGACAGGTGCTCTACCACTTGAGCCACATCTCCTTTTTTTCTTTTTAGTTATTATTTATTTATTTTTATTTTTATATTTTTTAAAATATGGAACGCTTCACGAATTTGCGTGTCATCCTTGCGCAGGGGCCATGCTAATCTCTGTATCGTTCCAGTTTTAGTGTACGTGCTGCCGAAGCGAGCACTCTTTTTAGTTGTTTGTTAGATGAGGTCTTGTGCTTTTTGCCTGGGGTAGGCCTTGAACCATAATCCTAGCTATGCCTTCTGGGTAGCTGGGAGTAGAGGCATTGGGCCACCATGTTTGACCAGAAGCTCTGTTACTTTTTGATGGAGAGGAATTGATACTCTTTGAGAAAAGGGAATTAGTGAAAATAAAAAACTTGTTGCCACCTTTTTTTTCCCCTTGAACATTAGAAATAGCTTGGTTTGCATGATTTTTAAGGACTCATAAATACCTTGAAAATGTACTTTTCACTGAGTAAATGTAAAAAAGTAAAGTCCGTGTTCTCTAGCTTTGCACAGAGGCCCATTTTAGTAAATACAGTCTTCTGCTCATAGTTCCTGACTTCTTGTGAAGGAAATGAAAAAGTCTCCACTGACCTCTTCTGAGTTCGTATTTCAGTAGTACACTATTTTCTGAATGATTGAATATCAAATGAATGAACCAAGCAGATACAATTGTGTTGCTTCAGTCTGAAGGTGAAAAACTGAGTCTTCTTTTTTTCTCCTCTTAGCCTCAGAGTGGGTTTTTTTTTTTTTTTTGTGGTGCTGGAGTTTGAATTCAGAGCCTTCACCTGGAGCCACTCTACCAGCCCTTCTTTGTGAAGGGTTTTTGAGATAGTGTCTCACGAACTATTTGCCTATGCTGGCTTTGAGCTGTGATCCTCCTGATCTTTGCCTCCTGAGTAGCTTTGATTACAGCAGTGAACCACCACACCCAGCCTCAGTGTGGTTTTAATCATCATTTAGAAATTGAAAACTGCAAGGAGCTGAGCGATAACAGAGATGGTCTGTTAATCCAGAGATCGTTAGACTATAACTGTGCTTGCAGCTACATTACTGTTGTGAAGCACTCTACTGACACTTCTTCTCTTTCTGTTACCTGGCCTGAGAATAAGGTGTTGTTTCCCTTTTCCCCTACCTAGGCCTTCATCCTCCTCCCATCTTTTCCTGGCTTCCTTTTTGACTATGCAGGCTGACTGAGATGCAAAGTGTGTGTGTGTGTGTGTTTCCAGTGCTGGGGTTTGAACTTGGGGTCTATACCTTAAGTCACTCCATCAGTCTGTTTATGTGATGGGTATTTTCAAGTTAGGGTCTTGAGAAATATTTGTTCAGACTGGCTTTGAATGATGATCCTCCTGATCTCTGCCTCTTGAGTAGCTAGGATTATAGGCGTGAGCCACTAGCGGCTGGCTCAAAGTGTGTATTTAAGTATACTCATGGAGGCTGTTCTGCTTGGTCTGATCCCTTAAATCCAAGGAACTTGACGAACCTTGGCCAGGGATCTCTGGCCACAGCTTGGGGTTTCCTGATTAGCAGACATGTCACTTAAACTGTCCTGTGCACCCTAGCTTGGTCTCCCCTAATAAAGACAGTAGACAGTTTTACATTTCTTTTTTTCACTCATTTTGTATTCATATTTTATATAGGCTTTATAATATTTATAATAGTACAGTGGCATAGTTTACAAATAAGTATATACATGTTGAGGGTAGATGCTCAAAAGATTTTAAACACAGGGTGAGTCCATTCATAGTTCCGAGATGGCTGGTGGTGGCCAGTGATCTTTTTTTTTTTTTTATTCATATGTGCATACAATGTTTGGGTCATTTCTCCCTCCTCCCCTCACCCCATCCCTTACCACCCACCCTGCCCCTTCCCTCTTTTACATTTCTTAAATTAAATGGGTAGCATTACAGATATTTCTACTTAAATTTTAGGATTATAGTGCATATTTTTTTAAAGCAAAATGTTGTTTATACTGAATTTAATATAAATGTCTGTTTTCGTTTAGTAACTCTTTTGTCAGTCTGAGTGGAATCAAACGTTTCAAAATCCTGCTAATGGTTTAAATGAAGTTCACATTCTGGAATTTAAGAGGACATTATTAAAGACATTATCAACTGATTTTAGGGAGGATTAAATATAATTTAGGCATTGACATGCTTATCCGTTTTGATAATTCAGTCTGTTTTAACTTGACTTTCCATTTACTTTTTCATGTTTAAGTTCACTGAAGCAAAACACTATCATGCCAAGTTGGTGAATATAAGAAAAGAGATGCTAATGCTTCACGAAAAGACATCAAAATTAAAAGTGAGTTGAAACCTTTCATATTCTCTATTAAAGTGGAAGTTTACTTTCCTTCTTTTTTGAGTTTATACTTTCATACCTTAAGTCATTATTTTCCTTTCTAAAAATTGTCTTTTTTTGTTTTGTGTTGGGTATTTTTGAGATAAGATCTCGCTTTTTGCTTGGGCCATCCTGCACTGCAGTCCTCCTGTTTATGCTTTCCACAATAGTTGGGACAGGTGTGTGCCACCACATCCAGCTTTTCCTGTTGAGGTAGAGTCTTGAGAACCTTTTACCTAGACTAGCTTGGAACCTGATCCTCCCGTTCTCAGCCTCATGTAGTTGGGGTGGCAGGCATGCACCAGCACACCAATCTATTGGTTGAGATGGGGTCTTGAAAACTTTTTACCAAGGGGATCACCCTTATCTCTGCCTCTTGAGTAGTTAGAATTACAAGCCATGGGCCATTGGTGCTGGGCCCCAAAATTATTTTTTTGAACCTCTCTCAGCTATTTTATTAATATCTTGACTGATAGGCTCATAGTCTCTGCATATGAAGTTGTGGTTCTCATTTAATAAGAGCTTGGAATAACATTTTTTTATTTGGCAGTACTGGGGCTTGAACTCAGGGCGTTGCACTTGCTAGGTAGGTGCTTTATTACTTGAGCCACTCTGCCAGCTACATTTTCCTTTTGAAATTAAGACCTTAAATTATCCAGATCAGATTTATAAATTAAATATGAAATGTATTAGTATGTATTAGTTAGTTCAAGTCAAAGCATTATAATTTTTAAATTAGATTATAAACTGTAACCCTTGATTGTTCTTTTGGTTTTTATTTATTTATTTTTACACAGAAAAGAGCACTTAAACTGCAGCAGAAGAGGCAAAAAGAAGAGTTGGAAAGGGAGCAGCAGCGAGAGAAGGAATTTGAAAGAGAAAAGCAGTTAACAGCCAAACCGGCTAAAAGGACGTGAAAAGTTGTGTTCGTGTGTGTTTTCTTCCCCTATCCCATCTTCTTTGGGTTTAAGACTACTTAAGTGTAGGGTGAGGTTCAGGTAGTGCCTTATACCATTTTGTATGTTTTGAAATCCTAATTCTGTGATTTCTATGCTCCATATCTTCATTTTTTCCATTCAAGAACCTTTCTTTCTAAGTAGTAGACAGAGTGTCACTTGCTTTGTAAATGCACTTTTTCAACTTTGGCTTTAACATTTATTATTTGGCCTTGAATAATTTGTAAACTGGAAAATGCTTTGATTGTTTTAATAGTCTAGATTCCAGGTAGTTCAAAATTAATATGAGTGTTTCAGCTTCTTGAGTGTAGATTTTAAAAGATTCAGTTTCTTTTATGATATGACCTGCCTTTTCCACAGTGCAACACAAATTTTTGGTAATTGCCTTTTTAATGCTTAGTTAAGAAGGAATGCCAATTATTTAATCACACGTGCTCTTGGAAAAGAGAAAGGATAAGCCTTTGTGAAGAACCTAATGGAAAAATGTATATGCAGGAAATAACAGCACCTTAGACATAGGCTGTGTGAGTGGATGCCAGATGAATTCTTCTAACCATATATTCTCTGTAGATTTTGTTTGTGTTCAAAGTAGGTTGCATCCATTCCTGAAGTTTGGCAGGGATAGTAGAACTGTCACTCAAATGTGCTTGTTTATAATTAGTAACAATCATCACACACCAAGATTTAGTTTCTGTGCTTTTAAAAACCTCTTTAAGTAGAATGAAATGTTACAACTATCCACTTTATAGATAATGATGTGATTGGTGGAAAACTAGTTAATAGCTTCACAAAAGAGGCAGCATGATACCTTTAGTGTTTTCTAGAATTTTTTCCTGATACCATATGTAGGAACTTATTATGTGAGGGAAATAATACGAAGTTTCATCATTTCAAATCAAGAATATGTTATTCTCTTATCTTAGTATTATTTAATATCCAGCTGGTCTCTAATTTCCATTATATATGGACTGCATAGAACCTGTAAAAGTATATAATTTGAATGTGCTTCTTATAATCCACGTTACAGTTTGGTTAGCTGGAATCACTACCTCTGATCACCTATCAGGCTAATGATAGAGAAAGTATTAAAGTTGAATGCTAAGAATAGTCTGTTTAAGGGTTTAAATAATTTGTTTGAAAACCCTTTTCCTCCTTTAATGCATGAATTATGGTCTCACAATTCACTTGACTTTGACATGTGTTTTATAATATTGACTTATTTTATTTGAAAAAGCTAAGAGTTACCCTCTGTCACTTGCTAAAACTTCCTCCGGCAGGATTCATGAGGACTTGCAGGACAATGTCACCTAAACTGCTGAGTGTGCTTACCTGTAATATGATGCCCGACACAGAAGTGCATTGGTTCTCAGAGACTGAGGACCAACCGCCTTGTTTACAATGCTGGTTCCTGGACACCACTTCTCAGTCTATTGAAGTAAATCTATTTTTGTTTGTTTTGCTTTATTTTAATTTTTAAAGTTTCCTTTGTGGCTACAATGCATCTTATAAAGATGAGAATCACAGGTCTAGTTGCCAAGGGCAAGGTTTCCCACACTATGCTGCATGTAATTTTCACTTGGGAACTTTAGAAAAGCACAGACATTCTGAATTCTTACTCATTAGTTATGATGTGGAGTCCATATATTTTTTTACAATGCTCCCCAGATAATTCTGATGCAAGGAAATAGTGGTGTAGACTATCTAGTGATTTATATTTGTAAGCAGTGAAATAGTTTAAAAGCACCCAGTAACTTTTGCTGATAAGAAATAAATTCTAAATTGCTGCTTTTGATATACAGTCAGATTTAAGACTAAACCCTAGCAGGCAGGAAATACAGAATTCTTGACCTGTATTAAAATGAATCATGTTTATTGAATGAATAGCAAGGCACATACACTTTTAGTATTATGTTGCTTAAGTTTTAAATACTTGTACAAATGTCAAAGCAAGTATATATTAGCATTCTCTATTTAAGGTCACTGGTAAATCCTAAATACTCTTTGTAATTAAAATCTAAAACTTAGTTGTATTTCAGTAACATTGAAACATATTAACTAATTGTGAAACCTTTACGGTTAGTCTTGCTATATTTTCACAAAGTAGAGAATTGGTTTGAAAAAATTGCCTTTGCTTTGAAACTATGAAATATGTGCTGAACTGAAATGGTGGTTCATTTTGTTTACTTTGCAGTAAGTATCATGTAAACATGCAGAAGTTGAATGTGATATAGATTGTGTCCACAGTAATTTTTTGAGTGGGTGCAGTTTATAAATATACCAATTATATACCCTAATACCTTTGTCTGATTTTGGTCTTGTAAAATGAGGGCTACTTTTTATGCATTTAATAAAAAAGTCTCTCTGAGTTATCCAATGTCATTTATCAAGCACCATCCTACACATAGCACGGCATAATTCCCTATGTACATTACTTCAAAGATTCTATTTTGCTGTCCTTTCCTTCTTTCTTCCTCTTAATGTCCTCCATGTATTGTGTGATGGAATTATCAGTCCATTTATGAGATCCCTTCCAGAAGGATAAGAGGAAGTGCTATGAAAAGACTTGTTGAAATAACCAAACTTCATAAAGTTCTTTGCTATTCTTTGAGAATAAATATAAGAGCTATAAACTGCACATGGTGGCACATGCCTGTAATCCTTGGAAGGTTGAGGTATGAGGGTTGTGAGTTTGAGGCTAGCGTGGAGTACATAGTGAGACCCTGTCTCAAAAAAAAAAAAATATATATATATATACATATATATATAGTTTGGAAGAAAGTGCTTTGGAAGGATTGTGGCTTGTACAGCATTTGATTATTTTCTTACTGGGGATTGAACTCTGGGCCATATGCTTGCCAGACAAGTGCTCCACCACTTGAACTACAACCCTAGTCCCAGGTATAGCATTAAATAATGAACATTTCCAACTAATGGGCTATTTTCGCTCAGGTTTTAAATTTCTTTAACCTGGGAGTCCTTCCTGCTGGAGGAAGGACTAATGTGGACGGCCCTGGAGAGGCTGTGAGCTCTTATAACTTTGTCTCAGAATTGTGTGCATGTGCATTTCCCAGGCGTGGCTCTAGATTTCGTGTTCTGCTCATACCTAAAGAGGTTCTTAGTTTCCACATTTTTCTTTTAGGTGAAGGTAGTTCCTATGTATGCTTGTTCAGATTAACCAGATATTTAAGATTTCTGTTTCTTCATACTGGTTAGCCCAGTGTGCATGTATAAGGCAGATGTTGTAGAGTCTTGAGGTTAGCATGTGGGGAGACTTAAGTTTATTTTCAAAGCCAGTAAGAGAGCGAAGCATTCTTACTTGTAGACAAGGGAAACATTTCTAATGATTAATTTAAAAAAACATTTAAAGCAAAAACCCCATAAAAACACAATGTAAAGGAAGGACAATCAAAGAGAACATGGGTAAAATTTGGGGTATGGTGGGGGTGGTGGTAATCCAAGAGAAATGGGAAGGCCAAGACCACAGTGGAAGGTCAAGGTAATCTTATCTTTCACAAATGATCCCCAAATAAGGCTTATATGCATGAAAAAAGATTAAATTAGAATTCACCTATTTTAGGATAAAAGTAGCAAAAGGTTGCCCCCTACTGTCACTACATTGTAAACTAAAGAAAAGTTAGCAATGTGGTTTAGACTATGAATATATTTCTAATGTGCCCTAGAAAGTCTGCAGTGCTCAAATTCAGATAAGTATGGGGCTGAAATATTACTCTGAGAATGTGTGAGTGCTGAGCTCTTATTTTCAGGCATGTTTCTACTAGTCCACTGGAAAAGATGGTTAAAATGTGCAAGGGAATACTAAAAAACAAAAATGTGTGTAGACCTGAAGATTCCTGGCCTCTGCCTTGATGATAAAATTAAAAAGTAAAAAATTTATAGCATATAGGGCCTTGGTAATATGATGGTTAGTATTTTGGACTCTAAAGTCAAACTTGGTTTATATTCTTGCTTAATTTGGGGCATGGGTAAATTGCTTAAACTGTACCTCAGTTTCTGAAACTAAAGTTGGAATAATCAAGAGTTTCTAACTTTATAAGGTTGTGAAGTTTCATAGTAGTTATATAAAAACTTAATAAAAAAGTAAGATTTAAAATGTTGAATGTTGTATCTTAGTACCTTGAAGTTACATATACACCATAGTGGGGGGTGAGAGGTTCCGTGTTGCACATATTAACTGTGCTGTGGGGTTTCCACTGCCTAGAATCCTTCATCCTATAATGGCTGCCTGTTGAGACCCCTATTCTCTTTGTAACCCAGATGTCACCTCCTTATGGCTTGTCTTACTACTTCCCAAAGAATTTTTCTTGAGTACTTTGTAGGACATTTGCCTCAGTGTCTACACCACTGGCTATGTGTTCAAAGATATTTCTTGATCGTTTTCTTTTTTCCTAGCCTATTGTTGATATATTAGGGTTCTCCAGAGAAACAGAACCAGTAGGATATGCTTACATATTTATATATAGAAAGAGATACATGCATACATATGTGTGTGTGGGGGGTGGAGAAGTGAGGGAGAGAGAATTGAAGGATTATGGATTGTGGGGGCTAGCAAGTCTAAAATTTGTAGGGCAGGCTGGAGACCCAGAGAAGAGTTGGTGTTGCAGCCTGGTCCAAATGCAGGCATGGTTCCCTCTTTTTCGGGGACCCGAATCTTTTTCGAGAGAAGAAGACCTTCTACTAGTTCACTAAGCACCTGCATGCCCACACCTGCGTCAAGGAGGATAATCTGCTTCACTCAAAGCGTACTGACGCTGATTTACAGGATCTGGTGACCTCTGAACCAGAGCAGGGAGGTCTCTACTGATCTCTGAGAAGTTCTAGCTCATTCAGGGTTTATTCAACACAAGCATCAATGGATGGCAGAAAGTAGCCTTTTGCTAACCTCACCATTAAGGGTGTGGGGCAAAGATAGATTCAGGTGGTGTTGAAGAAAATAGACCTTGACCTCACCAAGCAGACAGGAGAAATGATTAAGTGATGAGGTTGAATGTGTGATTACTGTCATGCCGATAATAATGTATATATTATTATTGATAATACAGTATATATATTATAACACATATAAATATGGTGTTAGGGAACAAACCTAGGGCCTCATGCATACTAGGCAAGTTCACTACTGAATTTCACTCCCAGCTCCTCAGATTGGCTCTTGAATAGGCAGAAGGGGGAATGGAAAGTACAGCCAGGTTCTGGCCAAGGATCGGTACAACAAGCCCTGTGAATGAGTGAGTAAAGATTAGGGCCCATGGAGAGTTCCATGCCTTCTGGAGCCATTGTATCCCAGGCCAGAAAACCAAGACCAGTGGGTGCTGGTCTGTATTGTGGGTGTGTCCAAGAAGAGAGAAATTTATAGGCCTTTTCTGTTAATAGTTACATACCTTAAAAGGTGTACTTTCAAAGATAAATATCATTTAAAAATATCTTCACAGTACCATCTAGACTGGTTTTAAAAAACATTTTTATTAGTATATTATAGTTTTACAGGAGGGGTCTTATGACATTTCCATGTATATATATATTGTACACCAGTTTGGTTCATCCCCTCCACTATCTAGACTAGTTTTTGACCAACTATCTGGGTACCATGGCCTAGCCAAGTTGACATGTAAAATTAACCATCACAGTTGGTTTTCTGTATATGTTTGGTGATTGAATTAAACTAGTAGGAGAGGGATTCATACATTAAAGATGGCTATAATAAAAACTGGATCACATAAATATCAAATTTAAGGAGTATTACAATAAAAAAATAAACTCCTGCAATTCAGACACGGCTAGGGAGCTCGTAGTCCTTGGACAGTATGAGCCATTACTTCTATGCCTAATTATGTATTAGACTAAAAAATAATGGTAACAGGTCTTGGGAATCAAATGAGCTCAGAGACAAACAAGGGGAATAGAGGAAAGAAAAAAATAGATGCTACATATACTGTTTAGACTTATATTTTCTCCATTTAGTCAGGGCTGCTCAGGTCTCTTGAAAATCGGAGAGTCAACAGATGAGTCAGATTTTTAATCTGGGTAAGGCATGGATGGGACAATGCTGCCATCTTGTGGTACTGCTTGACCCTGTTTCTACAACTTTATTACTATATTGCTTCAATTGGTTTGATAAGTTTTGGCTAAGCCTTTTCAACTAGTTTTTCAGATGAACTTTGTTTGAAAGTGATTTATGTGAGAGAATTTAAAACTATATTTTTGTAACTTTTTGAGTCTTCTAATGTGATATTGCCTTGAGAGGTTTTGTTTTTTTTTTCCTCCCTTCTCTTCAGTCATGGTCAAGTAATCTATCATTTGCTACCTATCATCAGCCGTGTTCAGAATCCCCTAAGAAAAGCATACAAAGATCTTGCTTTGGGCAAAGGTGCAAAGGTTCTTGGAATTTCATGTTTTTTTTTTTAACTTACTTTACCCAATTAGATCTGGGGTGAGCACCTGGCCTGAGGGTAGCCAACCCAATATGCTGGCTGGGATGAATTGGCCTGGCAGGAGAAACCTAGCCTAGCTGGGCCCTATAGTGGATCTCATTGGCTCAATCAATTACTGTCTTGGGACTATCCGCTAGAACACTCACTCAGTGCTTAAGTAATTGGAGAAGTGAGTATACCCACAGAAGTGAGAGCTAAGTGGGGGAGGGGGGCATCTAAATCTGTGAACTTCGACTTAGGAGACACAGTAATCAACCTCTTGAAATGCCTTGGATCTTGGGTAGGGTTTTTTGAGACCTGGGTGCTAGACTTTCCTTATGATTCTGTGGGACTGATTACTGGACTAAGTTTCCTGTTTTACCCAAATATTTTTATGATACTGTCTCCTGTCCCATGCTTCTCCCATTGATGAAATAATTGTAACAAATCTTTATTTATTGCAACTATTACCATCACATTTCTTTGTCTTTTAGGTTGCTCTAGCATGTTATATTTTCATAAAATGTTTTACTATTCATTGCTTAATTAATAACAAGGATGCTTCCTAGTGGCTTGTGTATTTCCATGCCTGTTAATTTAGTAATTCAAGGAAGAAAATACCAATAATCAGTAGTCAGATTTAATTCTGCTGTCAGTGATATAACTGTTTTTATTGTTTGTTGGGCATTTCCCTTGTTTTGTCTAATTTCTTTAAGTATTCTCATCTCTGGCTGGATTTATTTTTTGGTTTTGAACTCAAGTCTTCATGCTTGCAAAGCAGGCACTCTACCTCTTGAGCCACAACTCCAGTCCATTTTGCTGTCATTATTTTGGAGGTAGGGTCTCATGAATTGATAATATTGAAGAACAGAGTGAAGGGGGCATGGGTTTTGAGTGCTAAGGATGCACAGAATTCTTTTTTATTT